AATACAATTATTAATTACCCCCCAAAAAGGGCAGAGCCAAAATGGTGGAGTAAAAGAAGGCACTTGCTCTATCCCTGAGACAGAAGGCCATCCTTCCCCAGGGCTAGGAAACAAGGGGACCTCAGCGCAGAGCAAATAGCAGATAGTACTATGAAAAGAGGGCTAGACTTTGGTTCCAATCTCATCTTTGAAGTTCACTACCTGTGGGAATCTTCTGGGTCCTCAGTTTCCTCATCTGTAAAAGGTGGGGTCCAGATTAGATGGCTTTTGAGGTCTCTTCCAGCTCTGGATCTTTGAGCCTATGAGCTCCTCCAAACCAAGATTTAAGGTCAGAAAGACTTCCTCTCACTGGTTTACAGGGTAGGTTCTGGGGTGGTGGTTAGGGAGACAGGGAGAAGAGTGGAAAGCCAAAGAGCTATCCCAATAAGAAGTGATAGGTAGGAGATCTGAATTGGGGTGTGTGTGTGTATGTGTGTGTGTGTGTACGTGTGTGCCTGAAGACAGAGGCAGGATATGGGGCAGAGGTGGGGGATGGAGGACAGGTGGGGAAGAGAAAGGACAGACAGGCCGAGGGGCAGCTGAAGAGCAAAGGAGACAGAGCATCTGTCCCTGGGGTCTGATATTGAGGCAGCCAGGCTCTTTAGGAGAAAGATGAGCCTGACCAGGGGGCCAGGTACTGGGGGCTCTGCTTTCATGACCAGGGAACTCAATACCCAGCCTCAGCCCCTCAGCGTCCAACTTCCTCATTTCTCAAGGAGACCCTGCTTCAGAGCTGAGAATTCTTCCCTCTTCCCGCTCACGCCCTCTTCACCTTGTCCTCTCAGCCTGCCAGGGGCTAGCCAGGGTCCTGACTCCTGCTCTGGAACTCCCAGGGCCAGCCTGAAGTCTGACTTCCCCTTAGGTAGGATTGCCAGACTTCCGGCTGAAAGAGAATGTAGTCTGCTTTTGTCCCATCTGGCTGACATTTTAAACAGATGGGATACCCTCATTCTTGTGTGTGTGTGTGTGTGTGTGTGTGTGTGTGTGTGTTTAAATTTAGGAATGAAATGAAGCAAAGTTTAATATTATTAGACTACTGAAGATTTTGTACTTCACAGGCAATTAAGGCTCTGGAGTTTAATAATGACAGTCAGCATTTATATAGCACTTTAAGATTTGCGAAGTATCTCATCCGATCCTCACAACAATCCTGGGAGGTAGATGTTATTATTATCCCCATTTTACAGATGAAGAGAATGAGGCAGACAAAGGTCAAAGTGACTTGCCCAGAGTTACACAGTTAGTGAGTGTCTGGGGCTAGCTGTGAACTCAGATCTTCCTGACTTCAGTTCCTACACTCTTAATCCACTGTCTCACCTAGTTGCCTAATAATAACAGCTACCATTTATATTCTAATTATAAGAGCTACCATCTATATGGAGGCAGCTAGGTGGTACAGTGGATAGAGAGTTAGGCCTGGAGTCAGGAGTATAAATAGGGAATTTATTGAGTTGATTTTTTTTTCTTTTTCTTTTCTTTTTTTCTTTTTTTTGCTAGGCAATGGGGTTAAGTGAGCTGCCCATGGTCACACAGCTAGTGTTATGTGTCTGAGGTCGGATTTGAACTCAGGTCATCCTGAATCCAGGGCTGGTGCTCTATCCATTGTGCCACCTAGCTGCCCCAAGAGAAAGAACCAAGTTTTCTTGATAATGAATGTCTCCAATAGCCAAGAGAGAGCACCAAACTTTTTTTTTTACTTTTTTTTTCTTTTTTAGGCAATTGGGGTTAAGTGACTTGCCCAGGGTCACACAGCTAGTAAGTGTCAAGTGTTTGGTCTGAGGCCGAATTTGAACTCAGGTCCTCCTGGCTTCAGGGCCAGGACTCTATCCACTGCGCCACCTAGCTGCCCCCCCCAGTTGATTTTTGAGCGCTTCATATGTCCCCAGCATTGCCTTAGGGGACACAGTCTAGTAATAATAGCTAACATTTCTATAGCACATCACAATTTACAAGGCACTTTACTAATAGCAATTGTTAGTGAGGGTGTTATCATCCCCATTTTATGGATGAAGCTGTCAAGTGACTTGTCCAGGGTCACACTGCTAGTAAGGGTCAGAACTGACTCAAGGGCTCATTCCACTAAGCCATGTGCTAAACGTTTGTTGGCTCATTAGCCCAAGGAGAATAGGTGGGGACACTCAGATCATTACATGCATTCATGGGACTTGGTGAAAGGGGCACAGCATGGCCTTCTCTCTGGTTGTCCCCCTTGCCTGGAATGCTCTCTCTCCTCCCTTCTGACTACTGACCTCCCAACTAAAATCACACCTCCTATAGGAAGCCTTCCCCAATCCCTATTAATTCCAGTGCCTTCTCTCCACTATTTCCCATTTATCCTGCATAGATTTGTTTGCACGTTGGCTCTCCCGTTAGATTGTAAGCTCTTTGAGGGCAGGGACTTTTTGTCCCTTTTGGTATCTCCAGTGCTTAGCATGTTGCCTGTTATGTACATAGTAGGTACATAATAAAGGTTGATTGATTGATATTGCCTATTGCCTGTGGAAAACAGAGGTCTTGACAGCTTGTGGTCTTTTGCCTGACTCCAGCCCATACTGCCCCTCTCATTCCATCCCCCAAGGCCAAGGCCAGGCAGAGCTAGAAGAGAAGTATGTAGATGACACAAGTACGTGGGAAAAGCACAAGGCTGGGGGTCAGGAGAAACTGTGTTCTTAGTCATAGCATTGCCGCTGACGTTGAACAGGGTCATTTCCTCATAGTGAGCCTCAGTTTTCCTCTTGGTAAAATGAAAGAGTTGGATTAGATGGTGTCCAAAGTCCTTTCCAGTTCTGACATCCCACTATTTTGGAACTTCGGGGGAAGGGAAGAAGTACACGAGCACCTTTCATCCCCTCCATTAGCAGCAAAACTAAGGTACAAAGCTCAGCTTTAATCCCCAGGGTAGCTGAGAAAGGCAGTGGGATCCTTTCCAGAGCAGTTTCCCTCACCCCAATCCTCTGCCCAACATACTTTCCTCATGTTGCTGACCCACATCTCTAAGTCTAGGACATTTTTGTACACATATATTCCTGGTTAGGAATTACATTTATATCATAGATTCATGTAAATATACATGGGTATCATGGATGTGTGCACTGCTTTGGCATAGAAGGGTGCCATGGATTTCTATTACTGATATAATGTAGATATCCACGTATCATGGATGTTACATGTGTATACTCACTATAGCATCTGTCTAAGACAGACTATTTGTTTACTCTTGGATCATATCCATCCAACTGCAGAGGATTACACATTCTGATTAGTAGACATTCTTCATCCACTTGGTTTTTCCTGTGTGCATAGTTAATCCAAACTCTTCAGTGATTTTTTTTTTGGTTTAGAGATATGATTAAATTTGTTTAGGTGAGGCAAGTTCCCTTACCCAGAAATATCAGCAACTGTTCTGCAACTTTGTCTTAGAAAATTATGTGGGGCACTTAAAGATTCATTGATTTGCCCAGGATTAGATAGCCAGTATGTGTCAGAGTGGTACTTGAACCCAGATTGTACTGACTCCAAGACTGGCTTTCTAACTATTATGCCATGCTGAGTGATTGTAGATATCATAACATCCACATTTGTGCCATTCTATGACAAATTCATATATATGTACACACACATAGCATGACTTTATTATATTACAGATGTCTACATACGTGTATCATACAGTGCATATTATAAATGTATGCACAACCGATGTGCCGTGGATTTGTGTTATTGATGCATTGCACAAATATAATGGAATTTTGTATTGTATATGTTTGGACATATAGGTATCATTGAACTGTATAACATTATTGTGTGTCTCTGTGTGTTTATCTCCTGGGTTTACATGCTAACTGGTCCATGAATATATGTGCATCATGAATTTTTGTGTTAAAAATACACATAGGAATAGATGCAAGTTGTGTTTTCATGTGTATATATACTTATATATAAGTATATATACACATGTGTGTATGTGTGTATGATGAAGATTGTAAAGAAGGGAAATGTAATTCATAGCTGAGCCCCTGGGAGACACACACACACACACCCCTTCTATGTGTAGGAACATGCCCATACACACGAGTACTATATAGATATCGATATATAGATATAGATATTTGTGTGTTTACAGATACAAGTGTGTACTATAGGTGGATTACACGTGTTATGTGTGTGTAGTTACATGTAATGTATACCATAGTCACATGGCATGTGCATACCCACAAGTATTCTGTGCTTGCATTTATAGGCATATTATATAATACTGTACATAGCTATACATATACAGATATGTGCTGTTGCTGTATATTGTGTGTACATACATTTTAATGCTATCCAATCCCAGAAGTCTTGGTGCAGTTTGAAACAGCTGAGTTTTTAATTGGTGACTATATATGTCTCTATAGATATATAGAAAAAGAGACATGCATAGCTATATATACATGTGTGTATATGCACATACACACATGGGCACGCTCAGAGATCTATGTGTGTATGCATGGACAGATACACATGACCATGTCAGGCAGTTGACTTGGAAATATTCTCTTGTGTGCTGAACACAGGTGTAGAAACATAGCAAAGAGTTTGGAGGAAAGATATGGGAGCCATGGCTGAACATGTGTGTCTTCACATACCTGTGCATACGTTTATATACGGTCTTTACGTATGTGCCTACGTGTTGGGGAATGGCAAGCCTGTGGTGGGGCGTGTAGCCATCTGTGACGTGTAGGGGACAGGTGTGTTCCCACGCAGATGGTGTATAGAAGGGTGTGTATGTGTGTGTGTGTGTGTGTGTGTGTGTGTGTGTGTGTGTGTGTGTGTGTGCGCGCCCAGTCTACACTGGAGGGAAACTGGATGTGCAGAGCATTGCCTAGTTGCCATGGAAACCAGCAGAAGGAGGTGGGTGGCTGGAGAAGGAGGGAGAGGCAGAGAGGGAGGCGGGCACAGAAGGAGAAGGAGGAGGGAGGAGGTAGGCAGGGAGGGGGAGAAGGAGAGAAGCTGGCTGCCTGTAGCCCTGGTACAACTGTCTCATCTCAGGCAGAGTAGAGGCAATTGCAGCACCCGGGGCTGCCTGCCTGGACGCCGGGCTCCCTTCCCCTGTCTGTGCCAGACGAAGGACAGGAGGAGGTCGAGAATAAACTCGATTGGCCCGTCGGTCCCTGGTCTCTGCCGGGTTTCGGAAGGAAGGCTGGCTCCTGCGCCCTGGCTAGGCCCAGGTAGGCACTCAGCTGGGCAGAGGGCAGACGCAGGGGAAGGGCTACAGGATGTGTGGGCATAATGAGGCTGTGGGGGGTGGAAGAGAGAGGGGCAAAGTCTGTCGGGGGACGTACTGAGAGAAGCCCAATAGCTTTTCTAGTCGTCCCTCCATCTACCCTCTACCCTTCCCACTCGGCTTCCCCCGTCTCTCCGAGGGAAGGGGGTATCCATATGCGCCCGAGAGGGCTCCAGTGCAGGACAGTCCTTATTAGCTAGCCCAGGCAGGAAGGGGAGGAGGCTGGGACTGGATGGTGCTCCAACAGAACCCCCTGGCCAGGTCCAGGGGCCAGCGCTCCCCGCGCTTTACTAACTCTGTCCCAGGAAATCCCAGCCTGCTGCAGTGGTAGAGGACTTGAAGGACCCCCAAGCTCAACCTCCTGGTTTTACAGAGGAGGAAACAGATTCTTGGTTCCGGACTTCCATACCCCCTCACCCCCAACTCCTTACATGTCCCCTGCTCCTCCATGCCCATGTCAGTGCTGAAATGCAGATGCTTCGTGGGGCTAGGAGACTGGAGCGGGTGTGTGTGTGTGTGTGAGTGGGGGGGTCATAGTCATGTGAATAGTCATGCTGTCACCCCACCTCCCCCTGCTACCCTTCCTAGTCAGAGGCCAAAAGGTACACAGCATGGGTGAAGAGAGGCCAGAGCAGAAGCGAAGGGCACTTGGTCACTGTTAAGACTGGAAGAGTTTCCTGATTTAGGGTTCTTCCTCTCCTGGTCCCCATACTCTCCTCCAGCCCCTTCCCCTTCCTCCCCATATATGGGGAGGGTTTTGATCTTCTTGGAATTAAAGGGGAGTGGTTAACTGTCGGGGATTTCCTCATTTTTCCTCTCTGCTCCAGGAATTCAGCATCTACCTCAGGACATCCCCGCCTCCTCGTCCCTCCTGAAGCCCTGTGAGCCATCTCTTCCCTCAGGTCCTTTACCACCCCTCTGAGCAAAGGCACGGCAGGCAGGGGATTCCTCTTTTCTACATCCAACTGATTGGATTAAAAGATATATGAAGTCCTTCCCAACTCGAAGGTCCTTTACCTGAGAACCCTTTCCTGTCCTGTGCCACCCCCAGCCCACACCCCTCCACCAAAGCTGCCATCCCCAGCCCCTCCTCTAGCCCTGCCTCCAGACCTGACATCTCCATCTTATGATCCAGGGCTGAGCAGGTGGACAAGTCTGAGATAAATGAAGTTGACCCCTGGGGTCAGAGTCAACACCTGGCCACAACCCTTGCTAATTCCTCCAGCCACACAGCCCCAGCCTCATAGTCTAGGACTCCTTCCGGCTTGCTGCATTGCTCTGAAAGATGATTGGGGTGGGGGTGGGGGGAGTGGAGAAAAGGATGTGCATTGCAGAGAGAGGAGGGAGGCAGCCAAGCCATCGGTGGAGGGACAGTTGGACTCATACCTTTGCACAGAGAAGGGCTGGTAGGGACTGCTGGGGGCTTCTGGAGTAGCAGAGGCCTTTAGGGCAGAGGGGTGGGGAAGGTACCTTGTGTCTATCTGATTCAGAGACTAGAGGAGTTGGGTGGGGAAGACTGAATTTTTTTTCCTGGATTAGAGTGGCAGAGATAACTGAGGGAGACTTCTGGGCCCTTAGCAAGCTAGTTGTCTTCCTAGTTCAGCCTAGTACATAGTAGGGAATCATTATCCCAAGACAGAGCGTGGATAATACATGTGTGCTGGGGTATGTATGCATATGTGTATACATGTGCACATGCAAGTGTGTGTGTGTGTGTGTGTGTGTGTGTGTGTGTGTGTGTGTGTGTGTGTGTGTAGGTGCCAAAGGATTTCCCATCTCCTTAATTTGTTTCGCCTGCTCTATTTGGCCCCTCAATGGGGGCTGCTAACATTGACGTCATGGGGGTGTTGCCATCTCTCTGGGCTCTTATTTCGGGAGAGACACATGGCACTAATTCCTACCTTTCCTGTGATGAAGAGCACAAGATTAGGAGCCACGAGACCACGGACAAGTCAATCCCTCTACCTGAGCCTCAGTTTTCCTATCTGTGAAATGAGGTCTTTAATGTCCCTTTCAGCTCTGATATTCTGGGATTCTCCATTCTATGACCTTTCTTGTACCGGAGGCTTCTTCAGGGCAGAAGAGCATATGTAAAGAGGCTGATGTGAGCTACCCAGGCCAAATTCAGGTTGAGAGGCCTAGAGATGGGCATGAGACCCAGGGAGACCTGGGTTTAAACTCTACCTATGTGATCAAAAGCAAGTAATTTCATCTCTCTGATCCTTGGTTTCCTCCTCTGTTAAATGGAAATAATAATAGTTATACAATGTCACAGGGTTGTTGTGAGTAAACTTTAGAAGGCTATAGAGACATGAGTTATCATGATTATTTTGGGGTGAAAATTGAAGAGAGGAGTGTCTCTCTGGAGCTTTCAGACTTGAGAACACCGCACAATCATTTCTTCCTTCACCTCCACTGCTCCCGTGGGCTTCACAGCCTTCCTCTGTCCCTCTGCCTCCACATCAGAGGAGGGCCAGGGTTGGGAGTTAACACTTTCCCAAGGGCAAAAAAAAGTAAAATTGCTGCCTTAATATTCCTTCTTTATTCTCCCCCTCTCTGTCATATTCTTTCACATCCAAAAGGATGACCCAAGTGAACAGAGGCAAGGGCAAAAGAGCCCAGCATAGCAGAGGGAGGGGAATAGAGAGTCCTCTTTCATGAATAATAATAATGAGCATTTATATTGTGCTTTATGGTTACAAAGCACTGGACACATGTTATCTCATTTGGTCCTTACAACAATCTATTGTCCCCGTTTTAAAGTTGAGGAAACTGAGGTTGAGGGAGATTAAGTAATTTACCCAGCTAGTAAATGTCTGAGGCAGAATTTGAACTCAGGTCTTCCTGACTCCAACTCCAGCACCACCTTGCTGTTCAATATCATAGCTCCTATGGGTGAGTAAAGCTTGGTGGCTGGACTCTGCATCAGCCTAGTCTGTCTTGGGCCTTCTTTGACCACCCTCTGGCACAGGACTGAAGGGTAGCATCCTTTAGTCAGGAGAATACTTTTTGGCATTCAAAAAGGCTGCAGCTACTCCCCATGAAGGAGAGAGGACTTCTAGGGCTGTATGGAACAACTTTTGGCAGGAGTAACTGGGGCCGGGACACTGACTTCTCTTCAGCCCTTCCACAGACCCTCTCCAAGTCTCTGGACCTCCCAGATGTCCTTCCCACAATCCGGGCTCATCTTTGCCGTGGACTTCTTCCTTTTCTCTCTCCTCAATTGTTCTTTCTTTCTTGCCTCCCTTTCTCCGTTTCTCCACTTTCCCTTGTTTCTATTCATCTTCCTGTTCCACCCATTCTTCTCTTTCTATGTGTTCTATATTTCTCTTTCTTTATCTCTCTCCATATAGCTGGCTTTTCTCTCTCACTCTGAATTTCAATCTTTCTTCTCTTTCTCCCAATCTCTGTCTGTCCTTCTCCTCAGTCTTTTTACTTCCTTTTTTTTTTCTTTGACTGTCTCTGTCCTGGTCCATATCTCCTAGAATGACTCTTCCTCTGTATTTGTATGCCTGTCTCTTTCTCTTTTACATTTTTAAACTTTTATTTTTAAATTAACAAGCATTTGTTTTCTCGCTTTCCTTTCTCTACATATTATAATGACAACAACCAACAAAAAAAGAAAAAACAAAACTCTTATAACAAATATGCATTGTCAAGGAATACAAAATCCCGTTATCAGCCATGTCCAAAAATGGAAGCCTCTTTATTTATTTACTTATTTTTGGTGAGGCAGTTGGGGTTAAGTGACTTGCCCAAGGTCACACAGTTAGTAGTGTCAAGTGTCTGAGGCTGGATTTGAACTCAGGTCCTCCTGACTCCAAGGCCGGAGCTTTATCCACTGCATCACCTAGCTGCCCCCCCTGCCCCTGCCAAATTTTAAGTCTCATCCTGCACTCTGAATCCATCACTCTGTCAGGAAATAGGTAGTATTCTTTATTATCAGTCCTCTGGAATTATGACTAGTCACTGCATTGATCAGAGTTCTTAAGTCTTTTAAAGTTACCTGTCTTTACAATGTTGTTGAATTTGTACAAACTGTTCCCTTGGTTCTGCTCATTTTACTTTGCATCAGTTCATGAAAGTCTTCCTAGGTTTTTCCTGAAACTGTCCTTTTCATCATTTTTTATGGCACAATAATATTCCATTACATTCATCTACCATGATTTATTCCATCATCCCTGGTTGATTGTCTCTCTGTATTCTTCCCTTATTCTGCTCTTTTGTTATCGTTCAGTCATTTCAGTTGTGTCTGACTCTTTGTGACCCCATTTGGGATTTTGTTGGCAAAGATACTGGAGTGATTTGCCATTTCCTTTTCCAGCTCATTTTCCAGATGAGGAAACTGAGGCAAACAGGGTTAAGTGACTTACCCAGGATCACACAGCTACAAAGTGTCTGAGGCCAGATTTGAACTCAGGAAGATGAATCTTCTTGACTCCAATTCTGGTGTTTTATCCAGTGCACCCACCACCTAGCTGCCCATTACATACTTGCCCATTACTAATACTACCGAATCAGTCTTTTCTACTTGTAAAATCATCAGCTTGGGAATAACCTTCCTCTCAATTTTGTGACCTCAGCAAATCCACTGGCTTCTTAGGGTCTCAATTTCCTTATCCATAAAATAAGGAGATTAGAATATTCTGAATAGAACAAAAGCCTTTTGAGGAGAGGGTCAGTTTTATTTTTGTCTGGGTATCTCCAGTACCTAGAACCGTGCCTAGCATAGAGAGCTGATAATGAAGAATACTACCTACTTCCTGACAGAAGTGATGGATTCAGGGTGCAGAATGAGACGTACATTTTTGGACATGGGTGATACGGGATTTTGTTTTGCTTGAGGATGCATTTTTGACAAGAGGTTTTTTTTCTTTTTTATTGGTGGTTGTTTATCATATATAGAGAAAGGCAGGAGAGAAAACATTTAATCAATGTTTGTTGATTCATAGGTGACTTCTAAGGTACCTTCCAACTCTAACATTATGTCATTCTGTGAGCTCCCATAGTGAGGAAAATGGGCTGACTGGGGCCCAGAGACAGTCAGTCAGTCATATGAGCCTTTGGGGAAATGTTTTGTCCAAGGTTACAAGGTAAAAGCAGAGCTAAAACTAGAATCAGTTGCCCTTTCAAAACTCTTTTAAATAAAGTATTTCACTTTATTCTTGCAAGAGCCCAGTGAGGTAGTCAGGCCGGAGCTTATCATCTCTGTTTTACAGAGAAGGAATCTGGGGCTTGGAGAAATGAAATGACTTACCCAAGGTCACATAGCACTCTATGAGAGAAGCAAAACTGGAAGCCAGGTTAATTCTGATTGTTTTCTACCTAGAGAGATATTTCCCAGTGGAAAAAAAGTAGGGGGTTAAGAGTGGGATGGAGGGAGGGAGCCAGAACGAAGGGACAACGGAGAAAGTTGGAGAGCTGTCCCGGTATTTGGGAGAGCAAACCTGGAGACGTGGGTTGGGAATATTCACCAAGACAAGAGATGGGCGTGTCCCATCTGGGAGTTTCCCAAGAGAGAAAGATCAGAGTTCATTGTTTAGCAGTGAGAGGGAGGAGAGTTCCTTAGGGAAGGACAGCTCACAATCAGCTAGTGGAGGAATTTCAGCCTGGTCTCACAACACAGATAAGCAAACAGAACTCTATTATAACTTTAACTTCTTCCCAGTTGGGACAGTCCTTGATAATCAAAGCCATTCTCTATTTCCCTAAAGCTGCTTCTCTATAATCTTAGCCCTGCTGAAAGCTCTCCAGTCAGGGCGCAGCATCTACCCCTCTAGAACGGTGTTTTCCTGTATTTGGGATCAGCCATTCTTGGAGGGACAGATTTCATGAAGGACCTTGATCAGGGAATGCAGTGACGGTGAGAAGGGGCAGCCCT